ATCCAATTTAAACTCATTTTAATCTTCATGCATATATAGCTCTAAATAAGAGGGGTATGCCGTAGGCTACTGACTAAATCTGGCCCATATTGCATAGTTGATGGCCAACCAAATTGAGTCTAAATTCAGTGGGGAGATGAAAATACCCTTCAAATTCATGGCCAAATATGTAAGAGGGCTAAAATGAGTAATGTTTGTTTTTAAAGCTCTATGTTCCATTCTGGGATAAACCCAGCATACATTTCCATCACACATTCAATCTTTCTGCACCAATGATCAAGCAATTACAGATATGAAAAATGCCCTGTTAAAGAACAACATATTTCTATCAACAACCTACTACCAAACATATGATGAACAATTTGAGCCCCCCAAAAAACACGTTTCTGGCAAGATTATTATTGAGTAAGAAAAGAAAAAAGAAAAACATTTGAGAAAGATTGAAGGAAGAGTTTTGACCTGGGTGACTTCCGCGGAGGTAACCCAAATGACAACAACTGCAGCAATAAGGAAGAGACCGGCCTTATACTTCCACCCCATCCCGCACACACAAACACAAATCAACAAAGGTCCAGCTTGAAATCTGTATTTCTCTCCGTGAAAACAACAAAGATCTGGGATTTTTCAGCTCCAACCCTTTGCTATTTGAGCAAATACTGGGTTTTCTGCTCTTGTTTCTTCCTCATTCAGATAATTTGCACCATTTAGCAAATTATGAACGGCTAATGCAAGCGTTTGATGTGGACGGACAGAGCAAACGAGGGAAAGGGTGAATGGATTCAAGAGTTTCTTTCTTCTTTCTTTCTTTTACGTAGCAGAAAAGGGAAATACTGTTAAGATTAGAGAGGGAAATTATAACCGACGGTGCGTAATTGCGTTGGCTCTCAGTTTCGTAAATCATCTTTTTCATCCCATCCTTTGTATTCCCAACTATATTTCAACAATAATGATTTAGAGATTAAGAACTAATAAATGATAAATATAAATAATAAATATACATTTCAATAATTGTGTGGAGTGTTATGAAAACCTTCAGGCTTGTCAAGAACTCAAGTCCAAATTTCAAATCCATAAAGTTTAGACGGGGGTATGCCAAGTACAGAGTTACAGACTTGATAAAGCATTATTTTTATCTTTATGAACATTTATTGAGGTTTAATGTGTCAATTTATCTCATGATGTACAAATTGCACTTTAACCGCACTTAACTATCGAATAAACATGCTTGTCAACCACTATTGACTATTGATGGCACACACTTGTATGGGAAATACAATGGTACATTACTCGTGGTTATGGGTAGTGATGCTAACAACCAACTCTTTCATGTGACCTTTGCAGTCTGTGAATAAAAGAATGAGGATAGTTGGCCATGATTTATGGCATACATTAGGGTGTTTGTAACTAAAACGGAATTATGTGTCATTTCTTATCTACATCCAGGTATTATAAAGGCTATGAAGGAGGTGGGGAGTAGTTGGGAGGAGCTCTTTGCGCACCATAGACTATGTATGCGTCATCTTGCATCGAATGTGCACACCCATTTCAAAGACATTCACACGACAAATCTGTTTGTATGGACCGCACGACAACATCAGAAAGAAAAAGTTTGATGGTGGGTTCAACAAGTTAGGCGAAATGCGGGTGGAGACACGACAATTTCTGGGGAACATTCCCTTGGAAATGTGGTGATTACACCATGATGAGGGGTACAAATACGGTACCATGACTTCTAATATGACTGAAGTTTTCAACAGTGTGATAAAAAGTGCTGATACTTGTCCATCACAGCTTTGGTTCGGGTTTCCTTAACCGCATCAATGCATATTTTGTGGATAGACGTTAAAATAGTAAAAGAAGAGTGACAGAAGACCCCAAGTACACCCCATACATAATAAATATCATTGATAAGAATAAGGACAAGGCAAAACACCACATTGTCTCTGCATTTGATATAGGCTGAGAGTTATACCAAGTGGAAACGGGATGTGGCGGCCGAACAATGGGAAAGGGTGGGAAAAAAGCAAACTGTTAATTTACAGAAGCGTACTTGTAATAAGGTGGAAATATATAAGATTATGTGCTCCCTTTTATTAGTTGTGTGCAGAAAACGTAGTTTGTCTTATCATACCTTTGTGGATCCTTTTTTCTCATCTTCATAATACGCCGCTTCATATCAAAGAGTTTTTAAACCCATTCCTGACCGTGCTTATTGGCTGACTTACCTTCTTGCAAAGGGACAACCAAAGTCCACACGAATTAAGAATGAGATTGAAGAAAGTGGCAGAGGAACCGTTAGATGTGGAATATGTAAACAAACCGGCCATAATAGGACCATATGTGCAAAGAGATCTTCAGGAGATGGTGAGGGTCCACTGGGTAAGGTTTTAATTATTAAAATCCACAAGTCCTACTAATGTGAACCAAAAAAATGATTTAAAATTATTAATTAATTAATGACTAACACACGTTTTCATTTATTGTAGGCACTCTGGAAGTCTCAGTGGATCCAGGGCCGATTGATCGTTCTGTTCTTACATTGCAGACCACGCATAGGACTGAGGACGTGTGGAGTGGCCTCGATGTGCAGGTTGATAGGTGTTAAGAGCACCTCCGTAACTTGTCCCACGTGCAGGTGGACGATACAGTGTGCGTATGTTAGAGCAACAGTTTTTTTTGTGGTGTTCACAAGTTGGTGGCTACTGTCCCACTTGATAAAGCTCTACTCGTTGCTCTTCTTAAGCATTGGAGGCAGGAGACACACATATTTCACCTTCCGATTGGTGAGGTGACTGTATTGACGGGCTTACAAGTCCATGGGAGAGCGGTTATAGGTATAACATGTCGACCATGGGTTGAGGATGTGGAGCGATTGTTAGGTGTTCGCCCCCTTCTCTGGACAGGCATCCGTGGGTCATCTCTAAAGATGTCATGGCTGAAGGAGCATTTCGTTGTTCTTCCTCCGGAGGCTGATGAGGTGATGATTCAGCAACATGCACGGGTATACATTTTGATGATGATGGGCGCTTCCATTTTTGCTGACAAGAGTGGAAATGAGGTTCGGGTGCTGCCCTTGCCGATGCTAGAGAGATTTTATGTAGTTGCATACTTCAGTTGGGATAGTGCCACTCTAGCATATATGTATAGGCAGTTGTGTTGAGGTTGTCAAAGTGGGGGCACGAAGTTTTTTTTCTTTTGTTACAGATTTGGTCATGGGAGTACATTCACATTGGGCGGCCCATTATAGTACGATACCATGGGCTAGATGGAGACACACTTCATGACTAGCTTCCACGTCTCCTTGGACCACATCATCGACGGGGCGAGGACCCTATGGGGCGTCAGTATGTTTTAGAAGATTATATTTATGTTTTTGTATGTTTTGAATAATTATATTAATTATATTTATATTATTATATACTACATGAATGGTTAGATGGCAATTTGTTAAGTTGATATTTGTCTCACATCATCGACTTCTAGAGTCGGTTTCTATAGGGATGCATTTGATCGCATGCCTGATGATCAGGTTTGGTGTACATAATATAACATTAACTATCATATGAATAACAGTAAGACTAATTTTTTATCCTTTTGAAACAGATTACATGGATCCATATACAACCCAGATGTTAGAGGAGTTGGCCCCAGCAGGACCAGAGCATTATGATATATGGCGAGCACGTGCCCCGTTGATATGTTTTGATATTGTGGAGCTTCATTTATCTGATCGTGTACTGCGTCAGGTTGGCTATGAGCATGTCATTGTAGCAGTTATGGACACATATGTGGATCTTCATAGGCTGGATAGGCGTGGGAAGGATACAGAGGATTGGCCGCTCAGATGTGTGCGATATGACGCTATATAGGATAGGCGAACAGAGCTTGTTGTGACTGGGACGTCGACATTGTTCCCATCTATTTCTATAGACTACATGAGATGGTATTACAGCATCACACGGTTGTTTGTCTCTCCTTCTTTCAGACTCCCTACTCACCATTATCAACCTAGTTCCATGGCTTTGCACTTGACGGTGAGTGTGCTACTAATTACTAAAGTATTTCATGTTCTTTATTTAACATTTTTATTTATTTCAAAATAATTATAATTCATGTTTCACATTTCAGACATAGGCTTTGCAGCGTATACATGAGCGAGCGACTGCCACTGTGAGTGATACGCATGACGCTGACACGTACGATCAGGTTCTGATGAATATTGCTTCCCTGTGTTCCGAGTGTTGGGGCGAGTGGACTATGGCCATCTTATACATATGACCCCCTCTCAGAATTCTATGGGATTGACATCTACCACAACAACAACTTCTACATCTCAAACTCAACGTGACCGAGTTGTTCTTCAGTCACTTTAACGGCGTATGCGTCAACAACCACAACTCCATGACCATGACGATCAAGAAGACCATGAAACTTGTAATATGTCCCCATTATTGGACTTATTCATGTACCCCGAATGTTGTAGAATTTTTTGAATTTGTCAAACACTTTACTTTATGACGTATGTCCACCTGCAAAGTATTGGATATTAATTACTTAATCATTTGTTTATGGTGTGTTTATGCGTTGGGTTATGCATAGGATGGGAAACGGAAAGTGAAGCTTAGTTTATGTGTTGGGTTAATGTGTTGATGTTACTAGTCTTATGTTTTGATATGTGTTTGTGACCATGTGTTATCAAATTGTCTTATATTTTGATCCGTTTTTTTGATACTTTATGTTTTTGCAGGCGCAGAAGAAAGTTGTCAAACGATTTGGCAACTTTCCCCGACTCAGATTAACGCCAACAGTAGATTGATATAACTTTTAACCCAACATTATTTCTATAAATAATTATTTTCCGCATTAATTCGAAAAAAACTCAACAGTTTTCAGTTAGTTCCCTAGCTTATGGGCTTGTGATCCGGCCCTTTAACCAGGTCAACCAATGTAGTCCAATTGTCCAAATGATACGTACAGGGAAGGGTAGTTTAGTGACCCATGTTTGTTTGCAGGCTGACGTCGTCCGCCTATATAAAGTGCTCGGCAAATTAGGGTTTTAGAGTCCCAGTTTACGAGATCCCATCGTCTTCTCTGCGTAGCTCCAGCAGGAAAATGTCGATCGGAGAAGTAGCCTGCACTTACGCCATTCTGATTCTCCACGAAGAAGGCATCCCCGTCACTGTAATACTCACCTTTCATGATCTCAATCTAACGGACTATCTCTGTTTCTATATCTCCGGATTACTGGTTATATTAATTGTGTGCTGTTCTGCAGGCGGAGAAAATTGCTACCGTTGTAAAGGCGGCCGACGTTCAGGTGGAGTCGTACTGGCCCGGCCTCTTCGCCAAGCTCTGCGCGAAGAAGAACATTGATGACCTCATCTTGAACGTTGGCGGTGGTGGTGGTGGTGCGGCCCCCGTTGCCGTTGCTGCCCCCTCTGCTGGCGGCGCCGCTGCTGCTCCTGCCGCTGAAGAGAAGAAGAAGGTGAGTATACCTATTAAACATCCGCAGTTGTTTAGCTGTTTGTGTATATTTGCGCCATTTGATTTCAAAAGCATCTATAATTTGCTGAGATTAGTAATTGAGTAAATTTGTTTGTTTTCAGGAGGTCGTTGAAGAAGAGAGTGATGAGGAATATGGAATGAACTTGTTTGATGATTAGAGTTTTAAAGTTGTTTTGTAATGTTAGATTTTTGCTCTGCATACCTTTTCTTTTTGTCAAATCTATTTTGCTCTTCACTTGGGGCAAACTTTTGTACCCTATCATGGTTGAATTTTATGCCAATGTTTCAGTGATTCTACTAATTTAATGATTAAAATTGGTTGCTTTTATTTTATCTGGAATTGAGAATCATATAGCGCATTGTTTACTGTATTCTAATGTTTCGTTTTGTATTCCTTATGGTTGCTTATTTGTTTTTTCTTGAGTTTGAGTTTGTTATGTGCACAAAGTTGATCTAGTTAAATCTATTCTGTGAACAACATATGCACACCTAAACACTTGCGGTTGTCTAACTTTTCAAAATCACCTTTTAAATCTCAACTGACACTCTTTCATGGCTAAAAACTAACAAAGCTGCTAGGTGTACACCCAAATTCTCTGCGTCACTAACAAGTTTAGACAGTCTTAGATACAAATTGCCTTGTGTCAATATCCCTTATTGTTCGTGTCACTAACAAACTTAGATAGTTGGATGTTTTTACTTGATTGAAATTTGTCAGTTTGAGCTTGTAAATGATTGGGCACGGTACATTTTATAACTATCTAAGGCTGGCCTTGGACTTAATAGTTCAAGTAAAAACATTTTCAAACTAGGAAGTTAATTTAGACATTCTTTCAAACTAGGGATTGAGCTGACAGTTTTTTTAAAGGACTAGATTCGCACCCGTGCGATGTACGGAACATAAATTTAATAATTATTAGTTATATTAGTTAATGTACAATAAAAGTTATAATATGTCAATATGAATACATTATTAAAATTAGTACAGCGTATCATAACAGTATAAATCTAATGTACAATAAGAAATTATAATTCAGGAAAAGCTAAAAAAAATTAGAAAATTAAATTAAATTATCATTAACATTAATCACATGTTAATGATAGCATTATTAAATTAAACATTTTTTTAAATATGATTATCGTAATTTTATTTTATACAAAGCTCCGTGGAAAATTTGTCAAACTTGCCGCCAAAAGATACGGGCAAAAAAAGGTCTTGAAGGGGTCAACCGGGTCTTGATTATCGCTGTGTACCAAAAACCGGTAATTGGTGCTGACAAAGAACCAAAAATCATGCTGCGGTGTGGCTCTTGTTTAGTTTTGGACCTATGAGGAAGAGAGGCTTCAGATTGTTGTTACTGTCTACACTTCCACCTCAGGGTGTAGATGGCGCACTCCACAAGATAGTCATGGCAATGAGTCTACATGTGGCAGCGCCATGTGGGTGCCGTTCCCATTGTTTGGGAGCATATTTTAACATGTTCATCTAATTACTTTTGAGAGTTGGTCATAAGTACTAATTAACCATTTCGCTTGCCCATGGTATAAATTTAAAGCTCCTGCCCTAGTGGCAGGAGCTGTACGAGTATAAGAGGCCGTTTGGTAACACTGTTTTTCAGCTTATCAAACTTATGAGTCAACTTTTTCACCAAACACGTAACTTTTGTTTTCGGGTCCTGAATCGTATAATAATAATAAGAAAAAGTAAGGTTAAAGTTAGTTTTCTGTCTGTATTGGCTGAAGTTACCGAAGATGACTATTTTAGCTATTTCACATATAATTTTTTCTTTATTTTATCAATAAAATATATTTTAAATTTTTTTCTTCTTAAATCAGCAGAATCAGCCAATGCAATTACTTCAGCCAAAACTTCATAAATTTCAGCAGAATTAATTGAATCAGCCAATTTTCGTGTTAACATACAAGCTCTAAAACTACAACTTCATTAAAGTTGATAAACTTCATAACAAACTTTAGTTTTGACTTCTGTATAGGGGTGGAGCCGGTCCAGCAATGTTTTGGACCGAACTGGGTCTGGAAAATCCAGTTCGGGCCTAGGATTGCCCATATCCGCCCAAGCATGATACCTACTTACTTGATCGCGATTAAACCTATTTGGGGAATGAACCAGGTAGTTATATGGTGTTAATTTCGGTCTTGAACCGGCTATTCTTTTCTTTGGAAAGGGGGTTAAATGAAAAAAATAGACATGGACCGGGACCGAGACGGCCTAGGTACTCGGAACCGGTCAAGACCCGGATTTAACCGGGTCGGACTCGGGTTTGTACCACCAGCGACTAAGATCGGCCAGTCTGTGACCGGGACCAGGGCCGGGTCCACCCCTACTTCTGTATATCCTTAAAACAAACTTCAAGATAAACTCTAAAACAAACTTTCTGCGTTTCTTTATTATGAAGTAGTGGTCAAATTCATGAATTTTTGAAGCAATTTTCACTTTGAGTCATCCGAAAACAGTCTCGTTGTGCCTTAAGACTGCGTACATCCGACCCCCTACCCCACCGTAGGCGGGGAGCCTTTGCGGCACTCGGGTAATGAAGAAAAAACTTTAAAACAAACTTCAAAACAAGAATATGATTCTTTTTGGATATTAAGTTATTTTTGAGCTACTTTAAATGAGTAACTTTATATTTTTTTTATTAAAATGTGGTTATTTTACTCATTTTGTGGTGGTTGACTGACAGATTTTACAGTATAGCTCATTTATTTATCATGTGGGGGCGTCCTAAGTGTGTCATGACTCATCACTTCATCAGGAGGCATTAACCTCAAATCGCCATGACTTTGGCTATTCGCCAATCGCCATCAAAACTAATCAAATATGCTTTCCTTTCAAGCCTCAAATCAGTGTTCTAAAACACGCCCAAAAGCATCGCCTACGCTCGCATAGGCGTGATACGCAGCTACAACGCCTCGCATACCTTATATGCGTGTAATAAGGCATCAAAATTAATTAGAAGCTAATCTAAAAGGGAAAATCGCATATATGGTCCCTCAGTTGTCCACGAAATTGGGAAAAGTATTAAATAAGCCCCCTGTACTATGCTGAAAAAGTCGATTAGGCCCTCGTACTTTACAAACACACAATTAAGTCCTCAAACTATTAAAAAAAACGTTCAATTAAGCCCTTTTGGTCGGTAAGTAACCGGTTTCCCGGTTAAACGGCAACGGCGGCGGCAATGTGCTCGAACCCCAGCAACAGCGGCTGCCGGGAAACGGGTTACTTTTCACCGGGAAACCGGTTACTTACCGACCGAAAGGGCGTAATTGAACGTTTTTTAATAATTTGAGGACTTAATTGAGTGTTTGTAAAGTACGGGGGCCTAATCGACTTTTTCGGTATAGTATGAGGACTTATTTGATAATTTTCCCTAAAATCTCAAACCTGTATTTCTGAGATTGTAAATGTCACCCACCAATTGTCCAAAATGGTGTAAATGTGATCATTTTGAAGAGTGAAATATACAATGTAGGCGATAATACATTTCACTACTCAAAGGACCAAATAACAATTCAGACAACCAAGGAATGACATTTACCATCTCTGAAATACAAGTCTGAAATTTTAATTTTGTAGATAACTAAGAGACCATATATGCTTTTTTCCCTGATAAACTTTACACTGGTTGAAGAGGCCCCACCATGCTGGCTTGCTAGGACCTCCTTTGTCAATCTAAGTCGTCGCTGCAATGAATTTATAAAGTTGTTAGGAGGATGGATCGCTATATATTGTTACGGTGTGGGATAATTTGAAACCATACAACAGGAGGGCACAGGTCGGAGGTTTGTGTTTATGAGCTTTGAGCATTAGTCATTGTGAACTTGGGAAATTAAAAACTATATCCTACTGAATTAGCTAGCTACACAATATTGATTGACTATAATTATTATTACTATTATTATTTTACCAATCAACTTCTTTTTCACTTCTTGCTTTTTGTAGTGAGTAAACCTACTATTTGTGTTCTTGAGATGTTTATTTCCATTGAAAATTTGAAGTGTGTTTTTTTATTAATAATTTATGATACGTAGTATGAGATTTACATATTAACTATGAAAAATCACACTTTCAGTCCATCAAATAGTACGAGGTTGGAAATGTACTCTCCGTGTTTTAAGTTTGTAAATGTTACATCTCAATTGTTATTATAAGTGTGATCCTTTGTATGGTGACATTTACAACGTGGGCAGGGATCACATTTACACCAATTCAAACTGATGACATCTACGCATTTGAAAAGACGGGTACACCATTTTGATGTGCACTATTTGAGAGATCGAGAGTGCGATTTTCCCTACTAAAATAAAATTTATGGATAAAAGTGTCACTACAGTTACTATAAGTATAACATTATAGTCACTTAAAAATAAAAATTTAACATAATGTAGTCCAAAAAATAGATACTATAATTACTACACTGGAGTCACTTTTTGTCCATTATCTTTGCTTTTATAGTTTAAGTATTAACCTAGAAAAAATTAAAATAATGGGTAAAAAACTAAAACGACTTTTTACGTCTAGGCTTCGCCTAAACTTACCTAGGCTTCAAAGGGTTCAGACTTGGTTGTGCTGGCTCCAATAAATCGGCAATTTTGAAAAGCACCATTTTATTTACTCCGTGTGTGTTTTCCTTGGCTACTGTGAAAGGATAGTGAGTAAAAGTTTTTACTAACTTGCTTCTTGGGGTGTTCTAGATTGGCAATTCAAATAACTTTGTAAATTTGCTTTATGATAAATACATGGAATATTTTGTGTTAATCTTAATAAAAACAAAATATTTTGTGTTCTTGGTCAAGGACAATTAACTTTGACAAATGATATTTTTCAATGCGAAACTATTTTGAATCTGAAAATTATATCAAAATGTTCCTTATTCAAACTATTTTCCAAAAAGTATAAAATTTAGTAATTACATAAAAATATAATCACTAAAATCATTGTCCAAAGTTTGGTATCATTGATCAAGAAAAGTCAATTTAGCAAACCTTTCCGTGACGAAGGTAGTATAAATTACATTAATTGATCTGTAAATATAAATGTTTTTTGTTTGGGGCCTTCAAGTTTCTCAAGCCGCCCATGCGCCTCGACCCGCCTTACGCCTTTTAGAACACTAGCCTCAAAGCATAACCTTTCTTGTTTGAAACCTGCATGTGAGACTAGGGATATAAACTATCCTAAAACTTCATTGCCTTCTTTCCTTTTTGCCAATGTAGATGACCTTGATGGCCCTAAAATCAGTTATGGTTACATTTTGCAGCTAACTAGCTGATTATTCGTTGGATCACGAGAACTTGTCCAAATTTTCAACATTGAGTAGACTACTTTTAAGGAGGATCGTAGTTGCAAAATTTACCAAAAAGATGCTAATGTTGGGTGGATAGCAGCAATCTCCTCTCCCGAGATTGAAACATAGCGAAATCCAAATGCCTACCTAATGTTTAATTTTAC